GTTTAGTGGTGAGGGGTGCATTGATATGCCTATAGCGAAGAAATGCAATTTCTAATAGTTCAACTATTAACAAACAAGCATTAACTACGTAAGCACGGGTGCCTAGGGTTTCTCTCTAGGTTAGCATGGTTTTGGCAGCGACACAGCTTTGCCGACAACTTTTCTGGTTGCCAGCGGATAGATTCTCTTGCTAGCAGTTCAAGGTGCGACGGAATTTCTGTTTGGCTGGGACGAAGGAGTACTGCTTGGGGTCGAGCGTAGGGTGAGGGCTGTTTCTCTCGTTGAAGACGATCGTAAGGGGTGAGGGATCTACGATTTTGGTCTGATTTTTGACAGACTCGGCTGCAGGAGTAGGAGCTTCGGTTTTGGCGCGAGCGGCAGACCTGTTGTATGGCAATTCGGCTATTCGTTCCGGTCACTTTGAGGGATGATGACGGAGTTGATCCAGGAACGATTCGAGGTGAAGCGGCTGATTCGGATGTTTGTCAGCATGGAGATGAATGAGGAAGATGTGGCTATGTTAGCAAAAATCACGGCATGGGGTGCGGCGGATGGGAGTCTAGAGCTTGATTGGATCATCCCTTCAAAAAGATTTGCTCTGGCGCTATTGAAGTATCATTCATAGCGGTCATGTTGGTCCGACCTCCTCTGAACCGCCATGGTACCTACGAGTTGGAGTTTTGGCCGTCTGTGGAAGGTCTCGGTTAGAAGGGATCAAGAATAATGGAGCTTGGCAAGCAGTGATAGTCTCATTTAGTTTGCATTTTAATATTGTTATTTTTCAATTTGTTTTTTTATTTTGGAACTTTAGTTGTTTGGGTGTGTTATGCTTATGAGGCTGGTAAATATTTTATACTCCGTATTAAGGAGTAAGATGGCTTCAAAACCCGTGATAATCTTCAAATCTCTCAGATGGTTAGCTGCTCGATCCGCTCGATCTAGGGTGGTCGTTTCTATGTCTAATCAGAGGGTGAGTGGACCTTCGAGGTATGGTGAGTTTGATAGCAGAAGGCTGTTCAGTATTGAGAAATTTGTAATGTCCTTGGTTCTTGGATTCTAATATAATCTGTCAGTTTCCTTTCAAAAAAAGTTCAACTATTAAATACTCTCTCTGTCTCCCTATAATTGTCTCAGTGTTTCATTTTTGGATGTTCCTCTATTATTGTCTTATAATTTGGTATATTTGTGTGGCTCTAATTCATTCTTACTTTATTCTCACTTTATCAACTCATTATCAATCACATAATTCTATTTTTCTTAAAAACCACACCACTCTCTTCTGTACTAATATTAGGGATGCAGGTGGTACCAATTATTGATATTATAATTGCATGTGTGGAATGTTCGAAACATGACATAACTTGATGATACACCTAGGGCGGCTAGGGGCGAGCAAAAATACCGAAAAATCAGTATACCGCATTACCGTACAGGAAAATACCGGAATATTAGTATACTGTCATTTCGGTACGGTATCATACCATACCGATTTGTTTCGGTACGGTAACGGTAAATGTTTATTATAGCAGTGTAATACCGTACTGATTCCCTACCCAACAATTACTTTTAATTCTAAAATATTGTAAAAGTTCGTTACAATTTTGAAGCCCAAAATTAATACTTAGGTTAGTTACAAATACCAAAAGGCTAAAGGGTCAAATAGGTACATGAACTAACTTAAAGTGTTCAATTAGCCCCTTATATAGGAAGTTCTGCCCGACCGTCGCCGATTGGGGCGGTTCCCGGTAAAAAAAATTTGATTAAATTTTTTTAGCATCTTCTTCATTAAGTCTAGTTTACCCATATCAAATTTCAGCTAAAAATTAAATCGGGAAGGCAATCAAATGATTGTACTGCACAGTTATCTTCCAAAAATTGTACTGCGCCGTTTAACTGCACAGTTATCTTCCAAAAATCATTTGACTGCCTTCCCGGTTGAATTTTTAGCTGAAATTTGGTATGAGTAAACTAGACTTAATGAAGAAGATGCTCAAAAAAATTTCATCAAAAAATTCCACCGGGAACTTCCCCAATTGGCGACGGCCGGGCAAAACCTCCTATATAAGGGGCTAATTGAACACTTTAAGTTAGTTCATGTACCTATTTGACCTTTTAGCCAATACCAAAATACAAAAATAAAGACCCAATTTCACAAACTCACTATAACCTTCCAGGTTTCTACTACGTAATATTCAAATAACCTAACCCTAATGACTAATGAGTAATGTACCAATGTCAAAAAATGAGTTCATCTTGTTCCAAGAGCTTGTGGGTCGCGATGGCTAAACCGCTGAGTAGTTGAAGAGTGAAGAAGAGTGAAGAGAGATATACTTATGTGACGAGCGTTTTTTTTACTCCAGGGGGCGTCTGGGGGAGGGGGGTTGGGGGGCCTGAAGTAATGAGGGCTGAAACTTACTCCATTGACTTTCAAACCCTTATGTGCCTAGCGGGTTTCGAACTCGAGACCTTTCACTAGGCACGGTAACCTCACAACCAGCTGGACTAGAATGCTTAGTTACGTGACGAGTGTATCTACATAGGGATTCCGTGAGTCAAGGCACACAACTTTGTCCAAAAGTCTTATTCAAATATTTTTTTTAAAAATTATAAAATGACTAAATACACAATATCATAGTAGGAATAAATAATTTTTGATCCATGTTGTTTGAATAATTTTATATTTTTATTTATTTTTGTTAGATATCACTATCGATTTAATTATTCAATAAAACTTCAATAAAACACCGATTTAGTATATTTCTTTAGTCTATGATAATTTGTTGTATTGAGAGACATGCATGATAATTTACTGATACCGTACCGTTACCGAACCAAAACTTCGGTATACCGAAATGCGGTATACCGAAACTTCGGTAAGGAAACGATATATAAATTTTGTATACCAATTTTTTGGTACGACAAAGGTATGAGAGAAAATATTCGATAGACTCTACCGAACCACCCCTAGATACACCATAGTCCACCATATTATCCAGTTCTTTTTTGTCTTTTTTTCTTTCTTTTTTGTCCCTTGAGTAGTTGAGTGTTCATCATCTTGACTAAACTTTCATTCGTATGATTGTGTTCCTATTGATGGTTCCTCTGACCCCAAAATGTCAACATCAATGTAATCTCGAAATATGTTAAGTTGACCATTATTTTCACTAATAAATCACGAGTTAATTATCAAAATACGACTAAAAGTCATTCACTTTTCACAAATAGGACCAAAAAATGAATTATGTTTGCATATGACTAATTATGTGTATCTTAGACAATTATACCCTTATAGCTATTAAAATGTTTTAATTCCTAATAAAATAATAAAAAATAATAAAAATTAAGAAAAACATTTCGATATTAAAAATTTAATTAATTTTTTTTTCAAAAAATTAAAAATATTTAAAAAGAAATTTAAAAAAAAAACTAAAAAAAAAAATTGCCGCCGCCTCTGCCGCCTCAGCACCACCACCTCCAGTCACCAGGGGAAAAAAATGCCAAGTTCATTACGAATGCCATATTTATGGCAGAAAAAAATGAAAATGTTGGCATTTGAAAAGAGAAATATGCCACTTTTTTGGCATTTTCAGAAAAAAATGGCATTTTTCTGGGAAAATGGCATTTTTTTCATCGGCCGGAGGTGGTGGTGATGGGAGGTAGTACAGGCGGTGGGAAAGGCATCCATATTTTTTTTACGGAGTTTTACTATTTTTTATTAATTTTTTTAAAATAAAATTATTTTAAAAAAAAGTTTTTGAATTTTTTATTTTATAAAAATTTTATAAATTTTTTAATTATATTTCTACGAATTTTTGATTTTTTCGGATTTATTATGAATTAAACATTTAATTATGGCTTTTGACTATTTTTAATTCATATTTAATGGAAGGGTAAGAATGGAATGCAAAATAGGTATGTTTCCAATAGTACTCATATGGTTCTATTTTGGAATAAAAACATAGCAAGTCCTATTTTAGGTTTTTGCCATAGTTTTAGTCCTATTGAACTAATTTCTAAATAAATCACTCATAGGAGTCATATCTTCTTTGTATTCTCTATTCGAGTTTATAATTTTATACTCCATCCGTTCCATAATTAACTCCGGTTTTGACTGGGCACGGGGATTAAGATAGTGAGATTTGTGTGGTGGAGAGTTGTGCAGAAGAGAGAGAACTGTGTAAGAATGATTGTGAACCACATATTCTTTATTAAAAAGGGAAAGATGAGATAAATTTGGAACAAACCGAAAAGGAAAGAATGAAGATAATTTCGGGACGGATGGAGTATATATATAGGAGAAAATAATTTAAATATTCTAAACTTTAATGGGGTGTGAGGTGTGTTCCCCAAACTTGCATTATATATATATATATATATATATATATATATCCCCAACTTTATAAAAAAAGTTATTTCCGCACCATATTTATGTCACGCCCCTTCAAAGTATGGAACATTCAAATTATTTTCCCCATATATATATATATATATATATATATATATATATATATGTGTGTGTGTGTGTGTGTGTGTGTGTGTGTGTGTGTGTTAGAGATCAAATACAAATCATGCTTAATTTACTAACCTACGAACTCAATAATATGCAACACTTTGAACTTCAATATGCAATACAAATAATGTAAAGATGCATGAGTGAGATCACATACAAACTAGTCTTCTTATGCAAACCATCTTTACATTATTTGTATTGCATATTGAAGCTCAAAGTATTGCATATTATTCAAGCCATAAAATAGCAGTTTCACATTTACATTATTTGTATTGCATATTGAAGTTCAAAGTGTGTATCTTTACATTATTTGTATTGCATATTGAAGTTCAAAGTGTGCATCTTTACATTATTTGTATTGCATATTAAAGTTCAAAGCCTTGCATACTATTGAGTTTGGAGGTTAGCAAAGTAAGCATGGTTTATATGTGATCTCATATATACCATATAAGCACGGTCCAAACGATGGCTAACACCGTTTTTTCCACAGGAGAGTACCTGAGCTCGGCCTCCCTTAGGGTCTTGCTAACGTAGAAGATGACATGTTGGATGTCGTCTTCCTTCCGGATGAGCACAGAGCTGATGGCCGCCGGGCTGACCCCAAGGTAGAGGTAGAGGGTCTCCCCTACCTTGGGTTTGGAGAGCACAGGAGGTGAAGATAGATATCATTTGAGCTCGTCGAAAGCCTCCTGGCATTCTGAAGTCCATTGAAAACCAGCCGTCTTCCTCATGATTTGGAAGAAGGGTAAAGACTTCTCCGCTGATTTAGATAGAAAGCGGTTGAGGGCTGCCAGGCGGCCCGTCAACCGTTGAACTTCCTTCACATTGCGTGGGGGTTCCATGTCGATGATGGCCTGGATCTTCTCGGGATTGGCCTCAATACCCCTTCGGCTCACCATGTAGCCCAAGAATTTGCCCCCTTGGACGCCGAAGGTGCACTTCTTCGGGTTTAGCCGAAGGTTGAATTTTTGCATGATGGCGAAGATTTCCCGGAGGTCGTCGGCATGGCTGGAAGATTGTTTGCTCTTGACGATCATGTCGTCAACATAGGCCTCCATGGTGCGCCCTAGGACGGCTTGAAAGACCCGGGCCACCATCCGGGTGTAGGTGGCCCCCGAGTTCTTTAGGCCGAAGGCCATTACCAGGTAGCAGAAGATGCCCTCGCGAGTCATGAAGGCAGTTTTTTCGGCGTCTTCCTCGTGCATGAAAATTTGGTGATACCCTCGGAAGGCATCGAGGAAGGACATGATCTCACACCCTGCGGTCTCATCCACCAGTTGATCAATATTTGGTAGAGGGAATGGATCCATAGGGCACGCCTTGTTGAGATCGGTGTAGTCCACGCACATGCGGAAGGTAGGGGGCTTCTGTGCGAGGACTACGTTGGCCAGCCATGAGGGATATTTCACCTCCTTGATGTGCTTAATAGAGAGGAGCATGGCGACCTCCTTCTTCACAAATTCCCTTCTCTCGGCCGAGAGGGGTCTTCTTCGTTGTTGTACTGCTTTTGCCGAGGGGTCCACCGAGAGGCGGTGGGTGATGACCCTTCGGCTGATTCCCGGCATGTCCTCCGGCCCCCATGCAAAGACAGTGGAGTGGGCGCGGAGGGCGTCAGTGATACCGGTCTTCAGATCTTCGGGGAGCTGGGCTCCAATCTTCACGACTCTCTCCGGCTTGGCCGGATCGAGTGTAAAGTCTTCTACGTCCTCGGCTGGTTCAGCCCTCGGCCTTTTTTCTTCTTGGTCGATGGTTCCGGTGATGGTGAAGATAGCAGGCGCGGGCGATTTTCTGATTCCCCCGGGAGTAGCCAATGCCCCCCTCGGCGGGAAACTTGAGGCAGAGGTGCCTCATGGAGATGATGGCCTTGAGATCCTCGAGGGCTGGCCGACCGAGGATGATGTTGTGGGCGCAGTCGATGTTTACGACACGAACTCCACTTCGAGCTGGGCTCTATGGAGCCCGTCGCCGAAGATCACCGGGAGGGTTATTACCCCCTCGGAATCAATAGTATCGCCGGTGAAGCCGGCGAGAGGGGTCTTAATGGGTCGAAGGGACCCCCTCTCCAGATGCAGCTCTCTGAAGGTGCTGAGGTACATTACATTGACGGAACTGCCCGTGTCAATGTAAGTTCGGTGAATGATGGTGTCGTTTATTTCAGTCCGAATCACCAAGGCATCCCTGTGAGGAGAAGAAGTAGGAGGGAGATCTGCGTTGGTGAAGGTGATGGGTTCTTCCCTCAGCCGCTTTACCGGGGGCATATTGTAATACCCGAGATTAATGTAAGAGGATTAATAGTACTACTCATACCAACAGAGGTGCATCTCCTTTTAAGGGAGCTCATTAGCCAAGAACTCCAAAGTTAAGCGTGCTTGCACGGGAGTAGTCTTGGGATGGGTGACCCCCTGGGAAGTTTCTCAGGGCGCGCACGAGTGAGGACAAAGTGCGCGGAAAAGGCTAGTGGCGGTTTGTGAGGACAGTACTTGAGGTCAGAAGTAACTACCTCGGGGCCTACGGGGCCGGGGTGTTACAGGTGGTATCAAAGCAACCATGCGACAGTGTGCTGACCCGTTAGATATCGGGCGGGCACTTAGCGGGGCAAGATTCTGGGGTTTTATTGAGATTGGTTTAAGGGCGCAACGAGGACGTTGCGATCCTAAGTGGGGGTGATTGTAATACCCGAGATTAATGTAAGAGGATTAATAGTACTACTCATACCAACAGAGGTGCATCTCCTTTTAAGGGAGCTCATTAGCCAAGAACTCCAAAGTTAAGCGTGCTTGCACGGGAGTAGTCTTGGGATGGGTGACCCCCTGGGAAGTTTCTCAGGGCGCGCACGAGTGAGGACAAAGTGCGCGGAAAAGGCTAGTGGCGGTTTGTGAGGACAGTACTTGAGGTCAGAAGTAACTACCTCGGGGCCTACGGGGCCGGGGTGTTACACATATGGGTGACTTCCCCCACGTAAAGAGATTGAGCCCACTTTTTCCGCTGACTGGTGGAATCGCCCCCTGTATTGCCGCCGGTGATCATTAGGATGTGGCGTTTTTTCTCTTTGTAGTGGGGGTACTCCTCCTCTTCCTCCTCCAAGTTTCCGATCTCCCTCTTCTTGCCGAGGGGGATGGTGTTCGGGTTCACCCAAGCGTTCACCTTCGTGTGGTGTCCTCGGGGAGGTCCCTGATGAGAAGGTCCCTCCTGCCGAGGGCTCTGAACAAATTGGGATAGGTGCCCCGCTTGTATCAATCTCTCGATGGCCGTTTTTAGCTGGTGGCAGTCATCGGTTCTGTGCCCCTGGTGCCGATGGAAGCGACAGTATGGGAATTGAGGGTTGATAGCATGTACCTCCGGGGGTGCGCGAGAATCGCGCTCAACGAGGCCCCTCTCCTCGGCAAAATCAAGGATGATGCTGATGGGGTGCGTCAATGGTGTCCGAGGGCGGTCCAGGAGAATGGGTTGTGCCCAAGTCTTAGGGCTGCTCTTATAACCTCCCCCGGGCTTGGCTTGGCCTTGCCGAGGGTGGTCATCAGAGGGTCTTGAAGCCTTGGGGTGATTTGGAGGAGCCCCCGACCCTCGGTTGTTCTTGTTGTCAGCCCTCGGGGGCTGCGGATCCGGATGCTGGTGGTATTTCTCCACCTCCTCGGCCTCAGCATATCGGTCCCCCCGCTGCAAAGCCATTATGTAGTCGCGGGGGGGGGGGGGGGGGGGGTTCAATGATGAGGCTCCTTGAAAAGTTGCCGGTGCGGAGGACGGTTTGTAGGAGGGCCAGGAGGGTCCCGTCATCAGCACCGTCGACTTTGTCGGCTTCCGTCCTCCAGCGCTCCAGGAAGTCCCGAAGGGTCTCATCCCTCTTCTGGCGTATGGTTAGGAGGTGGGAGAAGTGCTTCCTCGTGCGACGCCTCCCGGCAAATTGTGTCAAGAATCGCTGGGCGAGTTCTTGCCACGAATCAATACAGCCCTCGGGCAGCCTGTTGAACCATTCGTATGCCGGCCCCTCTAAGGTGGAGAGGAACCAACGACACAAATATTCGTCTGACGCCCCTACCATCATCATGATGTTCTGGTATTTGCTGTAGTGTTCCTGGGGGTCCGTCTTCCCGTTGTAGGGCTGTATGTGTTGCCCTCGGTATTTTTCCGGGATTCGGGCCGCCAATACCCTTGGGGTAAATGGCGTCTGGGTCCGGAGCTGGATGATGGGTTCCCCGGAGCCCTCGGCTACCTTCTTCTGTAATTCCTCCATTTTGGCCATCATGGTCTCGTATTTGAGGTCTGAATGAGGGGTGGAGGTGGTGGCGTGAGCTTTGTTGGCCTTCATTTTGTCAAGCCGGCGTTGGAGGGCCGCAATAATTTCGTCTCGGGGATCCTTCGGGAGGGTCTCCGCCCCCTGCGAACGAACCCGGGCCGAATGGGCCTGGTTGATTTGGTGGCGAGCATCATTGGCATGAAGGGGTGCCTTGCCTTTGTCCCGAGGGGGACGCTCCTCGTCTGCCCTCGAGACAGACCCTCCGCTTTCCTGGGGCCTTTGGAGTGCTTTCCCTCCGAGGCGGTCTTGGACCCCTCGGCGGTCTGGCCCTCCTCCGAGCCGGTTGAGGGCGGAAGTGCGGGGCCTTTCTCTGTTGTCATTGTGGCGGTCCCGGGACTGAACTTCCTGGGAGGACGTATCTTGGGCCGCTACCCCTTCGTCGTTCCTAACCCGAGGGGTGGGGTTTCCGAAGGGGTGTGGCAGTGGGGGAAGTATGATGTTCTCCCCAACCTGGGGTTGAGCCGGAGCCAGGGTGCCGAAGGCACCTGGGTTCTGAGTGAGCGTCTGGATGAAGGCGGAGAGCGCTGAATGAACGTTGATGGTGAGAACCGGAGGGCTGACTTGGTCATCGCTCCGGTTTTTCTTCTTGGACTCGATGCCGAGGCGGGCATCGTGGGCATTCTGTTGGATCTGAAGGCGTAGGTCGACAGCCGCCTGTTCCAGCCCAGCGATGACACCGCCCTCGGGAGCCCTGTGAGAGGCTTCGGGGGCGTTGACGTCGCCGAGGGCCAGGTTCTTGTCTTCTACGTTTTTGGAGTTGGCACGTGTTGTTCTCACCATTTTGGTAGAGGGCTAGTGTTTGGCGAAGGGGGAGGGTTTCTTACTCGATTGTTCGACCTCTCAACGAGAGCACCAAATGATGGATAGTCTACCCGGGGGGTATATATCCGAGGGGTTATTGCTGAGAATAACTTAGAGAGAAGTCAGAGCACAAGTAAGTAAGAGAGAGAGTGTATTCAGTATGAATGTCGTTAAAGCGTTTAAGGCGTGGCTACAAATGGGGAAATGAGGTGCTATTTATAGTAGCAATAAATGCCGGACAGGGACACGTGTCAAGCGCCCATTGGCCGAGAGGTCACCTCAACTGGTTGGCGTGGCAGCCGCATGTGGCCGCATTTAATGCGGCTGTTGGATGGGACGTCTGTACAGGGTACGGTGATCTGTACGCATGTGAGGCGGATATCATGTCGGGAGAGGTGCCCTCGGCTGCAGAGGACTAGCCGAGGACTAGCCGAGGGCTCTTAGTGCCGAGGACCCCTGAGTGCCGAGGGCTCCAGGTGCCGAGGGCTACTGTTTTCTGCCGTTTTTCCCCCAGTTTCTTAGTTTGCTCGAGAAACCCGTTCTGTGAGAGTTTCAGCCTTCGGCCAGGGGGCTGAAGGCACCCCCGGCGCGTAGTGCGGGCTGCTTGGTACTCTGGGCGCTGTGATTTGGTCCTGTTGGGCCTTCTGGGCCTGTTGGGCCTTTACTGGAGTAGTAGGAGTCTGTGGGCCGGGGGTTCCTGGGCCATGTACTATATCAATTGTATTTCCGATTTTTTAAAAAAAAAATTGTTGACCGTGCAACGCTTTTGTCGTAGAAGCGCCTCCAATTGGCTGCGCTTTTTTTTTTAATTCATTCGACGCGTGCGGCGCTTAGGCAAAGAAGCGCCTTCCGTTTTTTTAAAATTGGCCGATGCGTGCGGCGCTTTGGTCTAAGAAGCGCCTCCCGTAATTAAGCCTAGCTATTCGACCGACACCAGGCCATCCCAGGCGCGCGCGGATTTGACGACCCCGGCCTTCAACGTCGATAACAGCCGCACCAACAATCAGAGGAGATCTGCTACCGCCGCTGCTGTCTGTACGTCTGCTGCCGCCGCCGGCTGTCCGTGCATCTGCTGCCGCCGCCGCTGCTTCATTTCTGCCGTCGTACGCTTGCCATCGTCGTCTTCTTCTCCAGCCATGGTCGCTCGGCTGCAACATTATCTGTGGAACGCCATTGACGGCTGTGGCTCGCCGTGGACTGCTCCGACCCGCATCACATAGATAAAGGTCAGTTCATTTTTCAATTATGTTTTTGGTATATATTGGTTGATTTCACTTTTATTTGATTTTAGTTTGAATGTTTTCAGATTAAAGTATATTTTCGATGATATCCATTGTTCCCATGTTTAGGCTTTCTTAGATTTGATAGAAGTGAGTTTGTTTGTTCATTTTTTTGGCAAATATATATTGTTTTTTATTTTTATTTGATTTTACTTTGATTTTTTTGGATTGCTCCGGCTCCCGAGTACTTGAAATTTTATTAATTGTTTATTTGACATGGATATCAGTGTGTTTTATTTGATTATAGTTACATTTTGCTGTTAACGGTTCTGTTAACATAGCATAAGATACATACATAATAGTTATTATGCCAACAACAGCAAAATGTATCTTATGCCAACAACATGTTCTCATTTGATTTAACGTTGTATTGTGATCAGATGCCAGCATAACTGGATTTGTCATGTGATTCAACGTTGGTCTCAAAATGTATCTTATGCTATGTTAACAGCAAAATGTTAATTATTATGTTCGATCAGTTAACAGCAAAATTTTATTAATTGTTGTTGACTGCATCTTTTGTATTCTTTTGTTGTACAATAACAAAGTTAGTTTAGTTTAACTTTGTTGTTGAATTATTGTTAAACTAAATTATACTACAGCTTAATTGTGTGTTTTGTATTGTTATTGTACAACAAAAGAACTGCTAGTCACTGTTACTGTTCTGTGTCTCTCTAGATTTGATATAGTTTAGTTTAATTTAACTTTGTTATTGATTATGTTAAGGTGCATATAATGCCATAATTATTATATTTATTGTATTATTATTTGAAAAGTATAAAATATTTGATTTTTTGATAAATGTTTTATATGCAGTTAGCAAAATGTGATATTGCTTATATGCACTTTATATGATATATGATTATTAGACAAATGTAGAATTTCATTCAAAATGGATCGTTCTTAGATGTATGGACGTCGAGACACACCTGAGTTTTTCATTGGTGCGAATGGGTTCATCAAAGCTGCCGTTACATACCAGAAACAACAAGAACATAAAGAGATTTTATGTCCTTGTTTAAAGTGTCGGAACTTGAGAAGAGAGAGTGACACCAATGTTATACTTCAACATCTGTTTGAGAGAGGCTTTAGAGAAAATTACATCATTTAGACATTACATGGAGAGACTTGCCAGGATGGTGAGAATGTTATTCCGCGAGCCGCCGCTAGTAATTTAAAGCGCAAAGCCCCCGATACTACCACCAACTTAAATTGGAACAATGGCAGTAATGGGGATGATGATTTCAATGATGATCAAATGGATGGGTTTTTGAAGGATGTACATGAAAATTATATACAACAACCAAAATCATATGAAAGTATGGTTGATGGCGCTAGAATACCTTTGTATTCTACCTCTACTTTTACCAAAATTATATACTTTTAAAAGCATATATATATATATATATATATATATATATATATATATATATATATATATATATATATATATATATATATATATATATATATACATTGAGCTTAATTATCATTATAGGATGTATAGAGTTGCGTCTACACAAAAGGGTCGTGGGAAGCCGATCAAATGGCATAATATCAAGGTACTTTCGTCATATATCTTCTCTTATTTACATAAGTTATGCTTTAATTTAAAAAATCATATTATAAAATAATAATGTATATTTGTCATCTAATATATAGTGTGCAAGACAAACGGGAAACACAGAATGTGGATATTATGTGATGAAGTTTATTTGGGAAATAATAACTTCTGTTGGAAGTTCAGATATTGCACAGGTATTTAAATTATATATACTTCAATAGGTGGATTTCATTAAATCATTTAACTTATATACAGTAGTATAATTTAGTTTGTCATTATTTATTTTATCTATATTTGTATGATTACTTTCAGGTTTGGAATGCAAGAACGGAGCCATATAAAACAGAGGAGTTTGATGACATTAGAAAAGTATGAGTTAGGTTTTTTGTAGATGAAGTGTTATGACTATGTAGAATTGTGAAAATCAAGCAAACTTGAATGTAGTTTTATTCTATTGTGATACAAATTTGTACCTTTTGAATTGAATTTGTGTGAAACGATTCTATCGTTATTCTGGTTTTATGAATGAATGAATGTGTTTTTTGGTTGACAATGGATCTGTAAATAAAACAAGTTATATAGTATTTTAAAAAAATTATAAATAATAATAATAATAATAATAATAATTGGAGGCGCTTTTATGACAAAAGCGCCTCTAAAGCAGAATACGGAGCAACTTGTGGAGGCGTTTTTAAGGTCAGAAACGCCTCTAATTCAGTTTACGTAGCACATTTTGGAGGCGCTATTTTCATCGGAAGCACCTCTAAATACCGATATAAATTAAAAAAAACATCAGAGGCGCTTCCATGTTAAAAAGTGTCTCTATTTAACTCATGTGTGCGGCGCTTTTGCTGTTAGAAGCGCCGCAAAATTTCAATTTTTTTTAAACATTAGAGGCGCTTCCAGACTAAAAAGCGCCTGCAATTGAGATTTGCGGCACTTTTTTTAGAGGCGCTTTGAAGCGCCGCACGTAGGCCATTTGAAGCGCCTCTGATCAGCGTTTTGCACTAGTGTTCGCACTAAAAAAAATCATCAAAAAATTCTACCGGAAACCGTCACAAACGGCGGCGTTCGGTCTTCGGTCGGCAGCTCCTGTACGAATAGCTGGACAGGAGCATTTCTCTCTCTCTTTCTCTCTATTATATATATATATACTTCCTCCGTTCCACACGCACAAGTTTGACCATTAATATCTTTCATTCCCTATTAGTAAAAAATTTAAAAATTTCATATTTTTAAAATTTAGAATGAGAAGAATTTAATAATATAGGGGTGAGATCACATACAACTAGTCCTCTCATGCTAACCTACAAACTGTCAAACTGTGTATCTTTACATTATTTGTATTGCATATCGAAGTTCAAAGTGTTGCATATTATTTGTATTGCATATTGAAGTTCAAAATGTTGCATATTATTTGTATTGCATATTGAAGTTCATAGTGTGCATCTTTACATTATTTGTATTGCATATTGAATTTCAAAGTGTTGCATATTATTGAGTTTGTAGGTTAGTATATTAAGCATGATTTATATTTGATCTCTTATTTATATACATATAAAAACACAGTCAACTTTAGAAAATGATTTGATTGTCTTCCCGATCCAATTTTGAGCTGAAATATTGATGAGGAAGCATGATTATATTTGTTTTTCCTTTTATATTACCGTTCACATACGCTATCATAACTTGTGTGACAATTGACATTCAATGATCAATGACAAAGACAAAGTAAGTTATGAGAGGATTAAAAGTGACGTGAGAGGGCTATAGCCTATAGGTTAATGGTCATTTCAAGCATCCATGTTTAGAATAGTTAAACGCGTTGACAAAGTATGTAAACTTAAGACTTTTACTTTGACTGAAACATATGCCGATGCAACACCATAAAACAACAAACCCGTTTGGTAAACTTGTAAGGGATTTTTTTTTAAAAAGTTAAAAGGTGAAGTTGTTGAATTTTTTAAAAAGGAAAATTCCCCAAATAGAAATAAATATAACTTTAATTGCAAAACAGGATTATAACTTTGAAATTGTCTAAATACGACTAGCTTTCCAATTTTACACATGCTTTATTTTAATACAATTCATATTTAAATAATATTCCCTCTGTTCCGCTAGAAGGTTCCCGTGAACGGTTTACGATGCTTAACTGACGATAAAGTAATTTAATCTCTGTTCATACTAATAACATAACTTTATATATATAATAAAAAATGTAAAAAAAAATGAAAATAAATATTTAATAAAATTAATAAAAAATAGAAAAATAAAAAAATTTAAAATAAAAACATAAAAATTAAATTAAAAAAACGTACAAAATATTAAAAAAGATTTTGTACCACGAGCTCCAACCACGGGAAAAAATGAGAAATTTTATGTTGGGGTGTGTAAATAACAATGTGACAATATTTTATCGAAACCGTATTTTATCAGAACAACAACAAAGGCCTGTTGTTGAGGCAGCAACAGAGGTTGACAAAATATTAAACTAAAAGCATAAGGGGTGTATAAGTAACAATGTCTACATAATACGGAGTATGATATTCGCTTGGCTTCTTGTAATAGATCATTTTGTGCAATACTTTTAGTAAGAACTACATCATGTTATCTCAACAACGAGGTTCCATCCTAAAAAATCGACTTAATAAAAGTAACTCATGAATTTATATAGTGTGTTATTGTTTTTATAACACTATGTGAGACAAAATGTGCTGGACAACATTGGGATTATACGTGGTTCAAATGGATCCTTAACGAGCTACCCTTAATTGTTCATTGATACTAAACAAAAGTCAAACCACAACCGGGCCTAACTCCTTTTAGGAATGAAATAGAATTACGTATTAACACTCAAAAGTACTCCCTCCGTCCCCCAATTAAGTTCCCGGTTTGACTTCACACATATTAAGAAAATAAATTTGACTTTACTGTAGAGTGCACTGTTTTGCACTGTTCAAACACTATTTGGACACTATTTGACATTGTTTTGCACTGTTTGACACTGCTTTGATGTAGATAATTTGCCAAATAAAGAAAGTAAGGAAGTGTGAACTTAATTTAGGGACTGCCCAAAAAGAAAAGTGGTAACTTAATTGTGGACAAAAATATAAAATGTAATCTCCACAGAGATTACCCATCACCTCTCAAAATACTAGGAAAACCACAAGTCTACGGAGATGCCAAGCGAGCTCATAATAGCAAACTTTGAAAGTAATCAGTTCGTGAGGATACATGTTATACAAGATTTTGTAGATTTGGGTGTAGTCCATCAAATCTCGTTGCATTGCATGTTCTCCAAATCTAATATATAGTGTTCTCCAAATCTAATATATAGTGTAGCAAAAAGAGAACGTCACTGCTTTGGATTTGACATGTGCTCCTGTGTAGTCTTTCTTTATCCATTTCAGTGCACTTGCTAGAGTGTTCATCTCCTCACTGATGTCCAACCATTCCTTAATGCTCCTTCAGACCCTCCATGTAGGAAAAATAGGTGTGGCACTGTTTCAGGGTCACCCTTACACAATACACACGTGTTAATCAATTCTAAGTGTTTCAAATATCAAAGGTGGCAAGCCGATTCCTAAATGCAAACCATGGACTGAAAATATACTTAGGATGAATGTAAACTTTTCAAATGAGAGTCATCCATGCCCTCTTAGTACCTTGGGTTTGGAGCAAGTAATACATTATGACAGGTGATAATTTCCCACCCGCACACATGGTTTTGTGAATTTGCAATTGCTTCCGGGATACTCGAGGAATGGAGTATGACTAGTCTCTTGTCATGGCAAGGTGCTTCATTAATTGTGAGTTTCGAGAGTGTGGGGTATAAACCGACATTCCTCCCTTTGAGATACACACTGTTAACCCACGTGACCCATAATGTATTGTTTTTTAGGGGGGGGGGGGGGGGGGAGGGGGTTGGGGGTCCCAGTGGGGGAGGGAATACAAGAGCTCACAGTGCTCCCGGTGGAAATTGAACTCCTGACCTCCAGGATAACCGGGTGACTCCACAACCAACTAAGCTAGTTGCTTCGTCAACCCATAACATATTGTCTTTAGCATGGATATTCCAAATGTGCGCAATAGAAGAGCTGCATTCCACACATTGGTGTCTCGCAAACCTAAACCACACATTGGCATATCTTCCACCACACAAGAAAATGGGAGAGCAACAATTCTATCTAAGAGTATTTGGGATACTGAAAATGTTTGTAACAAGAAGGATTGTACCCATTGGATAGTCGAACGAATCGGCTCAATTTTTCGTGCATATGAAAGCGTTTTAGAGTTCCTTTGTGTTGATGAAATCTATTGCAGTATCAAGTAAAGGAGCATTTTGAGTCACCAAAAATTTTTGTTGGGGCAAGAGGGATCCTGAGATATTTCACAACCGGACCTAACTCTAATATTATGATAAAATATGAAAGTTTCATTCTAAAAAATCAACCTGATATGAGGAGCAGCCCAGGATCTTATATAGTGTTTTATCGTTTTCATATTAATTCGGTGTGAGACAAATATTTTAACATCTTTCACTTACATATATAATATGAAGACACAATGCCCGAAAATGCAGTCGAGTAAATTGAAATACTATCCTCCGTACCATAAAAGTTGCAACAGTTCGACTTTCACGTTTGCCAATGCGCAACTTTGACTGTAATTATATTTATTTATGTATTAGTAAACATTAAGAAAAGTTAATATATTGAAAATTTACATTCATACAAATTTATTAATATTTTATACATAATATTTTTATTATATATATTATTAGAAAATCGTAGTCAAAGTAATGTATGTGAATAGTGCAGAAATTCTAATTTTGCAACTTTTATGAAACGGAGGAAGTATCAAATAATTGATTGTGTTTTCTATTATTATACTCCGGGGTAAAAGTTATCGGGATCAATTTTTAATGAATTCAAAATATGAATTTGTTGAGAAAACAAACCCGGCCTCTTCCAATGTTCATCGTCAATATGAACTCTTTTACACACACACACACTTGATAACACTACGAGGATGCAAATGACTCTTTGTATTTGAGATTACTTCATTGTATCTCACTCTTTGGAGTTTGGTACGAATTAAGAAAAACAAAGGATATAGCTGATCTCATACGACAATAACCTCTAAAATACACGAGGTCCGCCCCGTTCAAAGGTTCTTATTGCAAAATGACATGACTATTTAGAAAATAATTAAATATGCTAATTTGAGTATATTTTGGGAAAACAATTGATAGCCATATAATGGCTTATTAATGATAATTGTGATGTTACAAATGTATTATTTTTAATATTTGATGATTAAATTATTATTTAAGAGAGTTAATTGTTTCAAGTAGAAAAGGAGAATATTTAAGTGGGACGTCCAAAAAAGGAAAGTTAGAACCTTTGAATGGGTGTAATTAAGAAAGAATAGTACTCCGTACGAACCTATAGAATTTGTGGAAATGAAAGGAGATGATCTAGAGTCTGAAAATAAAAAACGAGTGTAGTT